ACTACTTTTAATCACTTAAGAATGCGTACCATTTGTCTGGGGAAATGAAAGAACCCTTGCAGCAACGCGTGGATGGCAGATCCCCTCCCCCAATTTTCCATGAGCACCAAATCAGCTCACACAGAGCATATGCGCACCAGCTGTTGTTTTTATTTCTTTATTCCCTGGGAGAGAAGTTGGTGGAGTTTACGCAAGGGAGGGAAGACAGCCCTACTTTGAGAACTGTTTCTTACGCTTCAGGGCTTCGATGACTGACGAATTCCTGGAGCAGAGCTTGCACTTCTCCTCGACGACTCATCTTGGTTGCCTTGCCCTGAAAGCGGCCTCGCTTCCCAGCTCCTTTGCCTCCCAACAGCTCTGCCACCCTGCAGGAACAACAGTACGGGCTGACAGCCGCTCACTTGCGGAGAAGAGAATGGCCTGGCCTAACCTGCCCGAGAGCGAACGAGGAGCGATGGATGCCCTTACAATACTGCTCAGATGCTTAGTCTGCAACATTAGAATTCTTACTAATTTTAAAGGAACCATAGAACATGTTACCTGGGACCTAAATTCTCAACTGCTTCAACAGGTCCAGCTAGAAGAAAGAGTCCTGCTTCTTTTTCATCTCCCACAGTCAGGAACAGCAGAGTTTCCTGAGGACAGACAGACAGATCTTGCTCCAACATAACCAGTGCCCTCCTTGTCCAGGAAGAGGACAGAGACACTGGCCACAGGATGCATCCAAGCATGCAAACAATTCAGAAGTTTGTGTGCATTACTGAGACTCAATCTGAAGAAAGGAAAAGGGAGGGGGGCGCTTTTGAACCTTTTATGCTCAATCATATGTTGTGGGGGACAGAATGGGTACTGGGGTATCCTAAGTTAAAAGGATATGATTGGCAGTTGGACTAGATAACCACTGTAGGTCCCTTCCAACTGAAATAGTCTAGTCCTAGTCTAGTCTAGTTTGCTCTAAAACAGACAATGAGGTTCTGTACAGCTCTTTGGGAGACAGGCTCTTCTACAGTGCTCTGAATTTTCACTGTTGTATTTCTTGACTGTTGACGACTCCCCTGCAGACTGAGGCTGCTGGGGACAATAACTTCATGTGGCTTTTGAAAGGAAACAGACCTGCAGCTTGTGACTATGCTACAAACAGAAGCCTGGCCCTGCCTGTGCTACAGCTTGAATGAAAAAGTCAGTCGTGTCAGGTTAGTCTTTGTTCATCAGTGACTCACCTCTGTCCCAATCTCATTAGCGATGATATTCATAAATTCAGAGTCACCCTCTTTCCTGTATGGATAAAAAAAAACACTTCAGAAAGAACCAAAAATCCCCTCCAGGGTCCAAAATATCGATCAGAAACCAAAGGCTTGATCAGGCCTTGGGTTTTGGCATCTTGCTGTTAGGAGGGAGATTAGGTTTTTTTCTGTGTATCTAATTCCTCATTGTGCATTCCTATGGACATATTAGGAATTATTTACAATTATGTAAGAAACAGAGCTCCTCAGGTTTATTTGAAAATATCAAGGGCAGAGAGATATCAGATAGACGCAGTTATTTCTTAGCTATAAAACCAGAAGAATTCAGTGACTGAATACTAACATATCCCTTTAATTACACAACCTTCCAGCAGACTGAGGCAGTTTAATATTCTGTTCTTCACCTTGTTTACATTCTTCCTTGAGAAACAAACCTGAATAGGCGTCAGAGACGCAACTGCCATAAAACATGTAAGATACCATTTTACACTTTTCCCTGAACTCCCCCATACCTGTGTAACACAAACAGCTGACTTTGAACAGGTTTGCTCTTGAAGTCCTGGGCTATCAAAACAGCAATGTCTCTAAGCAGGTTCAAGTTATTCTGAAAGAAAAGCAAATAAACTGTATTGCAGATGGAGAAGGCAGTGTGAACACTGAGTTATGTTCCCAGAGATGGGAGCAGTTTTCATAATATCCACAAAAACTGATTCAATTCCCAGTTATCACGACTAAAGCTCAGGTCTGCAGGAAGCAACCACAATCTTCTTTTCTCAGCCATCCTCACACCTTTTGAAGCAGTTTCACAGAACTCTGCAGCCTCTTCACAGCCTCCACATGCTCACCTGGTCCATTTCTGAAAGAACAAGGAGAATTTGAATCATCAGTCTGAAGGACAAAGAAAGGATTTCTTAAAGGAGCAAAAGCAGATAGCATTATAAAAAGCACCATGTAGATGCACCCCAAGGCTTATGTGGTATTTGTCAGAGGGAATAATAAAGATGAAATAATCAAAGTGGAAAGTGTATTACTTGAGCAGTGAGGTTAGAGCCTTCTCAGTACTGTAACTTTGTTTGACTGACTTCAGCACTCTGTTTCCCGACAGGAAAACCAAGTTGGTTTTGTTCTTTTTCCCTTTTTCTGTGCCAAGGAGTTTAATAACCTTAAAAAGAAAATCACCCTGGTCAGAACAGTACTTTATTTATACTCACACAGGTGGCCAGTTCCTCCTAGACTACATGTTGTTGTGAATATTAGCCCTGCCATTGAAAATAAACTGATTAAAACCAGCCATAAGGTCAACATACAAAAAAAAAAAAAAAAAAAAAAAAAGATGGCAATACAGGGGAATGAATGCAAATTGTTAGTCATGGGCTGCACTCTGCAGTGCATCTGGATGTCTCTGCTGGGATACAGACTCCAACAAATGACTGAAAAGACAGAATCACTAAAAGGCAACTCTAGAATTTTATCTCCACCTCCCTGCACAGAAGATTTCTCATTCATTATAAACACGCAAAAATATCAGAGCTTTAAGCAGAGGGAACAAATTGCTAGCAACCCGTCAATGCACGACTGAACTGGCAATAAACCATGTGCCCTTCGCTGAGGCAGCAGCAGTTCAGAAATACCATTGCTACAGACAAGGGGCCGAGTTCTGTTACAAAGGAGCCTGACTGACTGGACAAGGACTGCTGACCTGTGTGAGGCCCCGCTGGGGCTCATCCAGCACGGGGCTCCTGCCACCCCCTTTACCATCAGGACAGTTTCCAGCAGACCCCAGACCTCAGGGACTGCTGCTGTGCTAGGTCTGAACACACAGAGTGAGGGTCCTCAGCTGCAGCCCCCCACCTGCAAGTCGCTCAGGTTGGAGACATGAGTCCCACAGCACATGTTGGAGTCTATGCCTTCGATGTCAACAACTCGCACTGGCCCCGCGTGGTCATCGGGCAAACCACGGCTTCTCACCTAGCAAAAGGACAATGGCAAACAAGGTGACATCCATGCCGCAGTCACTCTGGTCCCACGGATATCATCAATTCTGTCCCCACCACTCACTGTTTCAATTTCAGGGTCATCTGCAGCCAGTTCCCTCACCATCACTGGTATCCTCTCCCGGATTTTCTCATTCACACTCTTCTCCAGGGCCTCTATTTGCTCTGCTGTCATGGAGGGGGTGTCCAACTCAATGACACTTCGCTGACGGCCCAGCTCCCTGCACCGATGAAGAACATCTGCTGCTGTAGCTAAGACCAGCTGGAAGGTCTCTCTGTGCAGCACCAAGAGACATCCCACTGCTGGGAACATGGTGACTGAAACAAAACATACTTTCCTCTTCATCCTGTTATTTACAGAGCACCAGATGCATACCAAACCCTTGGAGAAGGACAAGACAGAGCAAATACTTTGCACAGCTTCTCTCCAGTTCAGTCACCTCTCCCAGGCACTCTGAGCTCGAGTGAAATGTCCAAACTGCTTTTGATTTATCAGTGTTCAGCTCCTTGCAGCCCAGCATGCCGGCACATGCCAAACAAGGTAAGACTGGGGTCAAAAGGAGCCTTTTCCCTGCTCACCATGAAGTTGTCTTGAATCCAAACATCTGCTCTGCGATGGCAGTGATGAGATGCTGTCCTGGAAGAGATGTGCAAGCAAGCGCTGTGAGTGCCGCCGGGCACAGGAAAAGAGATTTTCAGTCAGACTGTATTTTTGCTGCTGGCGAGCCCCCCGACACTTGCCGACGCCCAGGCACGTGCTCGGCACCGTGGGGCTTCTGCTGCCGCTTAGAAGCGGCCAGAGGGCTCACCCACCGACCCTGAGCCCCCCGCTAAAGCAGGCTGAACCTCGCCCACACCCGTCGGCACCCGGCTGGCTCACCACCCGGGGGGGCCCGCGGGGGCGGCGCCCGCGCCCCGCCCCGCCCCGCCCCGCCCCGCCCCGCCGCCGGTGCTCCCGGGCACCCCGCGCCCGGACCTGAGTGCTGCTGCATGTGGTCGAAGCGGCGCTCCCAGTCCAGCGACACCAGCACCTCGGCGCCGGGCTCCAGCGCCGCCTGCACGAAGTGCACGGCCTCGGGGCCCCTCCGGGTCACGCGCAGCACCGGCACGTCGCCGATGCGGCCGCGGTCGTCGGGCTGCAGACACGGGGCGTCAGCTCCGCCAGCCCGGCCCCGGCCCCGGCCCCGGCCCCGGGCCCGCCGCTCGCCGCGGCCCGTACCTGCCCGCCGCCCTCGGGGAAGAGGATGGTGTCCTCCAGCACCACCTGGAACCCGCGCACCGGCTCCCCGCCGCCCTCGGGCCGCAGCTCCGCCGCCCGGCACGACACCACCGTGGTGGCGAACTGCGGGAGAGGCGGCGGCGCCGTGAGGACCGGCCCGCGCCCCGCGCCCCGCGCCCCGCGCCGCGCCCGCCCCGCCCGCCCCGCCGCTACCTGCCGGGCCCAGCTGTCCCGCTGGCACTGGAACACCATGGCGGCGGCGGAGGGACACGGGGCTGGCGGCGACGGCGGCCGCAGAGGGACACGGGGCTGGCGGCGGCGGGAGCGACACGGGACTGGCGGTGACGGTGGCCGCGGAGGGACACGGGGCTGGCGGCGACGGCGGCCGCGGAGGGACACGGGGCTGGCGGCGACGGCGGCCGCGGAGGGACACGGGGCTGGCGGTCGCGGCCGCCGTGCCGCAGGTGGGTGGGGCCTGCACGGTGCCCCGCGGACGCGCGCTCCCGGTACCGGCGGGGCCCCGAGCAGACAGCAGACGGCGGCGGCGGCGGCAGCTCACGTTTATTGCCCGGCGCGGGGAGGCCGCACGGCTCCCGCCGCCCTGAGCCGGGGTCCGCCGCGCTCGGCGCCGAACCGGGCGGGGCGGCTCCGCTTCCTCGGCGCGCCCGGCCCGCGCTGCTCTCAGGGCGCGCTGCCGGCACACCGGGAGGTCTCCTGCGGCCGCGGCGTCCCCGGGGTCCCGGGCTTCAGAGGCCGTCCTGCGGGAGGGAGGAGCGAGGTGGCAGGGAGGGGGCCGGCCCCGGGACGCGCTGCCCGGGAGAGCCGCTGGAGCTGCTGCCGGTGCCCGGGGGGCTCGGCTGGGCCGGCTCCAGCACGGGGCAGCGTCTGGGGGAAGCAGCTCGCCGGCGGCACTTACGTCCAGGTCGTCCATGTCCGGGGGGGGGGCTTTGTCCGTCACCTTCTCCAGGAGCTGGATGGGGAAAAAAAAACCGCTGTGGGAACTCCGAACGCCCGAGCGCCCACCCTACACACGCCCCGGCACACCGAGGCCTGCGGCCTGGCCCACCTCTGCATACTGCTCCACCGTGGCCCTCTCCACCTCCTCGTCCCCTTCCCAGTCCCGCCAGTTGTCAAAGTCCACGGAGAGCCAGGCTGGCTGTGGGCAGACAGAGCATTCTCTGAGGGAGGGAGCAGCACGGAGGGGAGCAGGCAACCCCATCCCAACAGCCCAGGGATTGCTCTGGGGGGTGAGGAGGGGCTGCTCCTGCACAGGCGAGGGGACTGGGTGGGCTGGGGAAGGGCAAGAAGGGGATTGTGCCCCTTTGTGGGTGCTGGTTCTGACCCTGCCTGCATCAGGGGAGAGGGGTGCTGCATCCTTCCTGGGGGGCAGGGGCCCGGGGACTGGTGGTGACCATGAGGTTGGGCTCTTTGGGAGCGCTTGTGTTGGGAATGCCTGTGTGGGGCCCTCAGTGTATGTCCTGGGGGGCAGGTTGTCCCTGGGAGCCGTGAGGTGCTGCATGGGGACAGCACATGCGCTGAGGCTGGTCCTGGCCTCCGGGTGCCACACACACCTTGATGTTCTCCTTGGTGATGCGGGGCCAGGCCACTTTCTCCTTCCACTTTCTCATAAAACATGTGATGGAGCGGTCAGACCGCTTCTCCCGTGAGTCCTGCCAAGAGATCAGGGGTGCCTCACCTCAGTGTCTGCTGGACTCCTCCCTGTAATCCACCGCAGACACGCATAGGATTAAATTTTAGCCATGTTCAGGCTGTGGGGGACAGAGAAGCAGAGAGTTTTTTCTGGCCCAACACAGCAGCGTGAGTGCCAGGCCCAGGGTCAGGGCTTCCAGGCTCGTGCTCACCCCACTCAGGCTCTTGAGAAATGGGCAGGATTCAACGCTAAGCAGTGTTGCTCAAGACTGCACAGGCTGGGTTTAAGTCTGAGCCTGATGCAGGCTGTCGGAGAGCAGTTTGCTGGGGCAAAGCCTCACCTTGGAGTTGATCTTGGCATACAGGTTGATCTCATTGTAGAACTCCACACCGTCTGCATTTTTGCAACTGCCAAAACACCGTAACAGCATGGCTTAGGAGAGCGCCGAGGCCATGCGTGCCCTGTCCCTCAAACCACCCCCAGTTCAGGGCCATGACCCCGGTCTGCAGGGCAGTGGTAGCTCACCTAAACACCAGCCGCTGGTTCTCAATGGTGACCTGAACATCCACGCTGTCCTCGACACAGAACTCCAGGTAGACGTACCTCGGGCGGTCATACCACAGCGTCTTCGCAGGTTGCCTTGGGGAAGAGCAGACCGTCGGGCATTTCCCGGGCGCCCAGCAGCGCTCTCCAGGGACCGTGTGCGAGGCGCGGGGTGGCGGCTGGGGCAAGGAAGGTGCCCCAAAAGTGCACCCTGCCCGGGCCGAGCGCCGGGCCGGCCCGAGCGAGGGAGGGCAGCGGTGCCCCCCGCACGGCCCCCCCCCGGCCCCGGCGCCGTTCCCCGCCGCGCTGGAGGGTCCTCCCCGATGGTGCCTCCGGCTCCGGGCCCTGACCCCCCGGCACCGGGCGCTGCCCGTCCCGACCGCCCGCGCTCACCTCGCCATGGCGGTGGCAGCCCCGCCCCGCGCTATTTCGGGGCGGGGGCGCGGCCGCCGGCGGGGAGCCGGGAGCGGGGGTCGGCCTGGGGCGGGGCGGGACCGGCCAGCTGGCGGCCCGGTCGTCGGCCCCGCGCTGGGCGCGCCCGAGACCCCCCGGTATCCCCGGGACCCCCTGGTGCCCCCGAGACCTCACAGGACCCCCGAGAACTGCCCGGGACCCCCGAGACCTCCCGGGACTCCCGAGAACCCCCCCCCCCGGGGCCACCGAGTCCCCCTGGGATCACGGAGACCCCGTGGGACCCCCCGGGACCCACCGAGATCCCCCCGGGACCCCCCGGGGCCCCCGCCGCAGCCGTCCCGCCGCGCCGCGGGGTGGCGCCCTAGCGCCTCGCAGGCCCCGCCCCCGCCAGGCCCCGCCCCGCGCCGCGGTGACAAGATGGCGGCGGTGCGGCGGCGCCGGTAGCTGCCGTCATGGAGGCGGAGGGCGGCCCCCTGGGCCCGGGGGAGCGCTGGGCGCCGGTGGGCGCCGTGTCAGCGGCGGAGGACGAGGAGGAGGACGAGGCGGAGGCGGTGGCGGGCGAGTCGCCGCGGTCGGTGCCGCGGCTGCGGGCCGAGCGGCGCCGGCTGCACGGCGCGCTGCTGGCGCTGGCCTCGCACTTCGCGCAGGTGCAGTTCCGGCTGCGGCAGGTGGCGCGCGCCGGGCCGGCCGAGCAGCAGCGCCTGCTCCGGGAGCTGGAGGAGTTCGCCTTCCGCGGCTGCCCCGCGCCGCTGGCCCCCGGCCTCGGCGGGGCCCCGGTGAGCGGCGGGGAGCGGCGGGGAGCGGGCGGAGCGGCGCGGCGGGGCCCCGGGGAGCGGCGGGGAGCGGGCGGAGCGGCGCGGCGGGGAGCGGAGCGGCGCGGCGGGGCCCCGGGGAGCGGGCGGAGCGGCGCGGCGGGGAGCGGGTGACGCGGCTCGGCGGGGCCCCGCTGCCGGCGGGGAGGCGGCTGTTGCTGCGGCGAGGACAGCACTGTCTCCTCTAGGATTTTGGCATTGGTTGCTGTTCCACACCGCGGCCGGTACGTGTGTCCGGCCTGGCTGAAGCCTGGTAGTGGCAGGGGTGGCCCCTCTCCGCCGCGGGAGGCAGCTCGGGTGCTGAGGCGAGGGCTTCGCACGGCCCAGAGCTGCTGCACCCCAGCCGGGGCCCGGGGGAGACCGGCCGGCGGGCTGGCACGGGCCTCAGCTACGGGAGCGTGCAGGTCCGCGAGGGCTCGAAGCCAGCTCCTAGGGACACGTGTTAGAGCCCTGCTCGCTCTGTTACCGCTGCCTTCCGAGATAGAGCGCTGACTCAGAGAATCTTTGATATGTGCACGTTCTTTGGCGACTTGCCACAGTGCTTCGTGGATCCTGGCCTTGTGCGACAGAGCTTGAGTGCAGCAGGTCTGGAGAGGCTCCTCCTTTGTCAGATGAGGTGATGTGGCTGGTACCTCTCCTTGATGTTCAGGCACATCTCTTTCTCAGACTGGCATGCTGTGCTTGCCAGTTAAGCACAAGAGCTGAAGGAAAAACTGCTCATACCATGGTCCTGTTGTCTGGGGGTTGGCTATGACAATAAATCTTCAATTGTATTTACTGATAACTTTTTCTCAGAGTGAGCAAGAGAAAAAGGAGCAAATTGAGGTCCAGAAGGAGAAGCAGAGAGAGCTGATTCTGCAGCTTAAGACACAGCTGGATGACCTGGAGACTTTCGCTTACCAAGAGGGCAGCTATGATTCCCTGCCACAGTCCGTGGTTATGGAAAGACAACAAGTAAGGCCCGCAAAGTCCTTCTGCCTGTATTTCTTAGCATTTCTGAGCCTCTTACAGGCTGCAGGAGTTGGTCAGTCCTTATTTCTCGCTAGCAGCTGTAATAGAGTGTCAGTAGTTTGTCTGCACATGTAAACCTGTCCAGTGTCTTCTCTTGTAATTTTCTGTGTGCAGCAAAGGTGGCCTGTTTCTAAGGTAACGTGTGCGTAAAGAAGTATTTTGAAGCTCGTGGGCCACACGGTGAGATCATGCTACTAACTTGTGTTTTGCAGATGATTATAAATGAGTTGATAAAGAAGCTGGATATGGACTTGAGTGAAGATATTGCAACACTCTCTCCGGAGGAATTGCGACAGCGTGTAGATGCTGCCATAGCACAGATTGTTAATCCAGCCAGGGTGAAGGAGCAGCTGGTGGAACAACTGAAGACACAGATAAGGGACCTTGAAATGTTCATCAACTTCATTCAGGGTCAGTGCTGAGTTTTTAGATGAGCAGGTTGAATTGGTTTGTAATTCCCTGACAAAGTCATGAGGAGAGAGGCCACAGGTGTCAGAGAATGCTGGAAGGGTTTCTGGGTCACAGGGAAGTACACATCTCTGAGCTGATGGTGGGGAGAGTGAGAGACTGACAAAAAAGGTGCAGAGAGGTCTAAGAAGTATTGACTTTAATGGTTGGGATACACAGCTTAAATTCACATGTGCGAAATAATAATGTAAAATTCTTGTTTTAGATGAAGTAGGAGGCTCTTCTAAAGCAGAAGATGGACACTGTGAATGTGCAGGCAGAAAAGATGGTGGTGGCTCCTACAAACCAAATACACGGCCTTCTGGAAATAGAGGTGGGCACTGCTTGGCTCGGAGATTCTGGCTCTGCTCCTGCTGTCGCTTGCTTGAGGCTCTGCAAGCATGGACCAGCATCCAGTTGTGCTAGGCTGCTTTGCTTTTTTCCTGTCACTTGGTTTCTATGCTTTCCTACTTCCACTGACAGAAGGCCTGTGTCCAGTTCCTTTACTCTTCCTCCATGGGATCATTAGTCACAGAACCCAAACGTGTGGCACAGAGGGTGGGATTGGCCCTCTGGAGATCAGGAATGGAAGGGACTTCTGATACTTAGTGCAAGGGGCAGACAGAGTGAGCAGCCTTGTCTTGTACACACTGTTGGGCTGCACTGTAATTAATGCTCTTTGAGTACTTAACACTGCAGTCAGATACAGTGAGCTGGATGGATCCAGTGGTCTTTATAATTTGAGACTTGTTTACTTATCAGAGCTAGAATAGTATACTAGAGGAAATACTACAATACTTTTACTTTTTGTGATGAGGCATCTGCCACTAGTCAGAGATTGAATACTGGCCCAGGTGGAATTTGGGTCTTACCCGGTATGGTTACTCTTGCAAACTGAACTTAATAATGGCATCAGGAATAAGCAGCGTATGTTAGCCTGCTGAGATAAGATGGTTCTTGAAAGTCAGCAGTGATCTCCTTCAGCAAAGGTTTTGGTATCTCCTAACTATCCATGTGATATTGTTGTGCCTAAAGAATGGTCTTTCCTCACTGCATATGTGCCTGCTGGGAAAGCTGTTGTAGGATTTCTTCTTTGTAAGATGACCTGATTGTCAACAACAGGCCATGCAAACATTTTATTTTCTGGTTGTCTTCAGTCCTTTGAAACTAGAAAAAGTAGCATCAGTCTTAGTGACAAAAACTCCCGAGGAGGAGGAGAATCTGTGGCAGAGGAAGAGCAGGTATTTGCACTCCCTTTGTGTGTATGAAAGAGCAGAGCTGTTGATTTTTATTGTTTTTTTAATGAGAGTATTTTTTTTCTTTTCTAACCTGATCAGTGAACCCAGAAGATGCCAGAAAGATGCGAGAAACAGGCCTGCACCTCATGCGTCGCATGCTTGCTGTGCTACAAATATTTGCTGTCAGTCAGTTTGGTTGTGCTACTGGTCAGATTCCTCGCACCCTCTGGCAGAAGGACCAAGCCAACAAGGACTATTCCCCCTTAATTAAGAAACTGGAGTTGTCAGTAGAGCGGGTGAGGCAGCTAGCTGTGAAACACCAGCAGGAGGACCACATTATCAGTTCCTCCACTCTGCAGGACATTCCCTTAGGAGGCAGAGATGAGCTGACTCTAGCTGTGCGGAAGGAGTTGACCATTGCTTTGCGAGACCTGATGGCTCACGGGCTCTACGCCTCTTCTCAAGGAATGAGCCTGGTGTTGGCGCCCATCGCGTGCTTGATTCCTGCGTTCACCTCGTCGCCGCAGACCATGCACCCCTGGGAACTCTTTGTGAAGTATTACAACGCTAAGAATGGACAAGCTTTTGTGGAATCCCCGGCTCGCAAGCTCTCTCAGTCCTTTGCCTTGCCTGTGACTGGAGGACTGGCCATTACTCCCAAACAGAGCCTGCTGACCGCGATTCACACTGTCCTCATGGAGCACGACCCCTTCAAGCGCAGTGCAGACTCTGAACTGAAAGCTCTGGTGTGTATGGCACTGAATGAGCAGCGCCTGGTCTCCTGGGTAAATCTGATCTGCAAATCTGGTGCTCTGGTACAGTCTCACTACCAGCCATGGAGCTACATGGCAAACACAGGCTTTGAGAGTGCGCTCAATGTTCTCAGTCGCCTGAGCAACTTGAAATTCAACCTCCCGGTTGACCTGGCTGTCCGACAGCTGAAAAACATCAAAGATGCTTTTTGATGTATTTTTATTGTAGATCATCCATTTTCCACAAGTAGGCAGCTGCTGGGCTTAAGATGCCTGGCTTTTTTAAGACCAAATTTGGATCTTTGAAATTGATGTTTGCTTTTAGGGAAATCTTAGGGTGTCTTGATGCTGGAAATCTGTGTTTTACAAGGCTGCCACTGCAAAGCTGCTGGAGGTTGTGTGCTGTACAGCACCTCACCCTGCCCCTTCTATGCTGCTCTGAAGAGCAAAGCTGCTTCACTGGTGAGCGCGGGGCTGGCCGCCCTGAGCGCGGTAGAGGCCTGGCCACGGAGCCTGCAGTGGGGGAGAGCCCCTTAGAACGTGCAGCTTGTCTCCTGTGCTGCAGCCTCGTGGTTCTCTCAGAGTTTGTGCTGTAAATAGCGTTCCTACAAAGCCACTTCTCACGGAGGAGCCAGACAAGCTGGCAGGTGTTTACTTGCCTTGGGGGTTGCCCAGGGGCGAGTGCCTTGCCCTCCCCAGGGTGAAGACGTGAAAAAATCGGGGGCAGATCTGCGGAGCTGTGGGTGCCGGGGCTGCGCTGCTCCAGCGCCAGGCTCAGCAGTCCCCAGAAGCAGCCACCTTCCGCCGCCTCAGGGCTGCTGGGTGAGGGGCCCGCACCCCCGGCTTTGTCCCACGGTCCCCGAGATCCTTTTCTGAAGCTTTTGTGTGCAAGGGCCGGCGCGCCAGCAGCCTGCTGTTTTACCGGGGTGCATTAAACGGCTTGACCGAGTGTCTGTGTGGAGAAGCCCTCTGCTGTGCCCGTTTTCATCTGCGCCGCGGGGCGCTGCTGCCGGCTCTGTGCGGGATGACGCCCCGATTCACTGACCCGCTGTGCCCCCGTGCTGCGGCCGGGGCCCCGGTGTGTCCCCGGGGAGCGGGAGGGAGGGGCCTGGGGGGGGCCCCGGTGTGTCCCCGGGGGGCGGGAGGGAGGGGCCTGGGGGGGGCCCCGGTGTGTCCCCGGGGAGCGGGAGGGAGGGGCCTGGGGGGGGCCCCGGTGTGTCCCCGGGGAGCGGGAGGGAGGGGCCTGGGGGGGGCCCCGGTGTGTCCCCGGGGAGCGGGAGGGAGGGGCCTGGGGGGGGCCCCGGTGTGTCCCCGGGGGGCGGGAGGGAGGGGCCGGGAGGGGCCCCGGGGGGGGCGGGGCGGGTACCAGGCACAGCCGGCTGTTGCCCGGCAACGGCGGCGGCGTCCCGCTCCCGGAAGCGGAAGTTACGAAGCGTGACGCGCAGGGAAGGGTCGGAGGCGCGGCGGCTGCTTCCTTCTTCCGGTCTGAGCGCCATCGCCGCGGGAGCCTCGGTGAGTGGCGGGGGGGGTGCCGCGGGGATCCGCCGTCATCCGCGGGGGCGGCGGCCCGGCCGTGACACCGCGCCCTGTCTCCGCAGAGATGGGGAAGTTCATGAAACCGGGGAAGGTGGTGCTGGTGCTGGCCGGCCGGTACTCGGGGCGCAAGGCCGTCATCGTGAAGGTGAGCGCGGGGGGTCGGCCGCACGGGCGGGGTCCCGGGGAGGGCCGCACCGGCGGGGGCACGGGGAGGGCCGCACGGGCGGGGGCCCGGGGGCGGCCGCACCGGCGGGGGCACGGGGAGGGCCGCACGGGCGGGGGCCCGGGGGCGGCCGCACGGGCGGGGTCCCGGGGGCGGCCGCACCGGCGGGGTCCGGGAGGGCCGCGCTCCGCCGTGCCATCGCCGGCCGCGGCCGGTGTGTTGCAGAACATCGACGACGGCACGTCCGACCGGCCGTACAGCCACGCCCTGGTGGCGGGCATCGACCGCTACCCGCGGAAGGTGACTGCCGCCATGGGCAAGAAGAAGATCGCCAAGAGGTCCAAGATCAAGTCGTTCGTGAAAGTGTACAACTACAACCACCTGATGCCCACCCGGTGAGTGCGGCCGGCGCGGCGGGGGCCTGCGGCTGGAAGGGCCGGGGACGTCTCCCTCGCTTTCGGAGACTGTAATTCTTGCGGGTTCTCGCTGGTGAACGCTGGGAGTGACGGAGGTTCTTAATTACATGGTTGGACGAGTGAGGAACGTGCCCTCTGCAAAAACCAGGGATGTGGGGGCTGTGGGCCTGAGGGGGAATACTAGTGCACTTCTGAAATAAGCTGGCTTTTACTTCAGCCACACTCGCTTTCCTCCCAGTGATAAGGTGTCAGAAGGGGGAGGCGTCGAGGTGAGTGGGGGGGCCTGGGGCGCTGGCAGAGCTGTTGTGGCCCGGTGTTGTTTCTCCCCAGCCCCTGGGGCTGGTGCAGGCTGCCCAGTACACCGTATTGGACAGAGCTGCTTGTCTCTTGCCAAGCGTGTAGCTTGTTTCTTTACAGGCTGGATTAAATGCCTTTGGATGCTGTAATGGTTTGGTGACTTCCTGAACTGAGAAGCCTTTAAGAGCTGTAGTTCCTCAACCTGGCCCTAGTTCGTGCATTTGCCCAGTCCAGGCTACCCGCTGTGCTCTCGTCCCCGTGACTCTTTTGAACCTTGCTGCTCTCTCACCCAGGTATTCTGTTGATATTCCGCTGGACAAAACAGTGGTCAATAAGGATGTGTTCAGGGATCCCGCTCTAAAACGCAAAGCGAGACGTGAAGCCAAGGTGAAATTTGAGGAGAGGTGAGTTGAAAGCTTGTTTCTCCAGGGGTGTTGGCACCCAGGGCCAGGACTTGGCGCCGTTGTGCCACAGCCTGGCTGATTCCCAGGTTGGACACTTTTACTCAACTTTCTTGAATACGTTTTTGGTTGAGTGTGTTCCTTCTCACCTCCTGTGCGTGTTTACACAACTGTATGTTCAGGGAGCTGATGGTTTGAGAGGGGGATCAGTTTACCAACAGCCATAGACTTGGGCTGACATTTGTGATGGTGCTGTAGCCTCGTGCCACAGGAGTGGGGATTTTCAAATGCTGGATGATCTCTTGGCATCTCACTGCCAGTTCATCTGCTGTCTGTCACTGGGCTTAGTGGGACAGAGCAGCACTGATGCTTTGCCCAGAAGTGTCTGGGTTAATGGTCCTTCTTTTCAGTTTTCTGTTCAGAAACTCCTTCAGTGGAAGGAGCTGTGTGGCCTCAGCGGGACACAGGGTGCCAGGCAGGCAGCCTGGGGTGGTGGCTGTTCTAAAGCGCTCTGCCATGACCATAGGCAGTTCTCCGAGGGCACCTCCTGATGGCTGCGCTCCACATGAGATCTCTAATGGGACTGCCACATGCTGCTCTCTTAGCTCTTGGGGTGGAAACTGCTGTAGTGCAGGTGTTCTTTGTGAGATGGCTTAATGAGAAAATCTGGAAGCTGGCATTCGCTTCCCTTGGGAGTTTAAATGTTTAAAGTGGGTCTAGTTGCCGCCCAGGCTGAAGAGACCTGCTGAATTACCTGTGGGTAAGCTGGGCGCAGTGTCCTGCCTGTGGGGGGAAGATACAGTTGGCTCAGGTGCGGGTCTTGTGCTGTTGTCTACTGCTACAGAGCGTTCTCTAACCTTTGTGTTCCTCCTCTTTCAGATATAAGACTGGCAAGAATAAGTGGTTCTTCCAGAAGCTGCGATTCTAAAGGTGTAACAAGGTTGCATCAATAAATGTTTATTAAAAAACACTTTGTTCTGTTGTATTAAAAAAGCAGCGCTAGGCCTTTTTCTCTGTGGTGTGGATGTTCTTGCTCTGTCTGAAAGAGCTGGGAAAACCATTGCAGTCCAGAGCTTTGAAGCTTCTCTGGAGTGTTGTATGGCCTGCACCGTGAGTGAAGGTACCGCCTCTGTGGGACTGTCCTTGGGTGCCTCCTGCTCTGCCGCGGGGCCAAGGCTGCTCTTTCCCCATCATGATGCCAAAGGGTGATTTCTGTCACTCCTGCCTCTGCTAGAAATCTCTGTGGTGATCCCTATGAGAGAAGGGGGGTGGGAGACGACAAAGGAATTGTTCATTCCAGGTGTCTGCTGTTCTCAGGCTGAGAAATACAGTGCCTCATCCAGGGACCTACCTGGGGCTGTTAAATTTTTGCTTACCTTTCCAAATGTTCTTTATTGTGCAAGTGACAGGCTTCCCTGGCAGAAGAAGGGTTAGAGTGGTAAATCGGATGCACGGGGCAGGAGGGGAAAGAGGTATTTCCTGGCTGAGGAGGGTTGGGGTGCTTTGGGGAAGCGAGTTCGAGGCGGTTGGGCAGGCGCTGGCGTCCCCGCGGGGCAGTGGGGAATGAGTGGAAAGATCAGGTTTTCGGGTCAGCAGCGCCCGCGGGCCGGCGCGGCGCCGGACCGGGCTGCAGCTCCCGCCGCGGGGCCGTCGAGCTGCGGCCGCTGCCGCTTTCGGGGGCCGGGGCGGGGCCGGGCCGCGGAAACGAAACCGAAAGGGAAGGGCGGAGGAGGAGCGGGGCCGCACCGGCAGCGCGGTCCCGGCGGGTGAGTAGGGCGGCCCCGGAGCTCGGCCCGGCTCCCCCCCCGGCGGCCCCGGAGCTCGGCCCGGCTCCCCCCCCGGCGGCCCCGGAGCTCGGCCCGGCTCCCCCCCGGCGGCCCCGGAGCTCGGCCCGGCTCCCCCCCGGTTGCCCCGGAGCTCGGCCCGGCTGCTGCCCCGGAGCTCGGCCCGGCTCCCCCCCGGCGGCCCCGGTGCTCGGCCCCCCGCCTGACCTGCCGCCAGCGCCGCGACGATGGATTTGGAGGTGAGGGGCTGAGGACCGGGGGCGAGGGGAGCGGGGCGGCACTTGGCGCAGCGTGGCTGAGGACCCCCCCCTGCTTTTAGGACTCTTTCATCCGGCTGCCCCACTCCGGGGGCCCGGAGGACGGCTGCCCGGAGGGGACCCCCGAGCAAGTCCGGCAGGAGATCGAGCGTTGCAAGGTGTGTCCCACCGCATCCCTGAGAAGTGGATCGGGTCCAATCCAAACCACCTTGGGATCTGCCCCAGCCAGCCTGGGCTGCGAGCATGAGTTTCTTATTTTTTCTTGGACTATGAGCCAGGAGTGGCAGAGAAGGGGTATCCCACGGTTAAGAGAGCCTGTACCGGGGTCTGGGGCTCTGCATGGGGAGCAGCCCCCCTCCTTCCCAAACGAGCAGCATGTGCTGGGGCTGGACAGCCAGTGGGGGTGGCACAATGTCTGTAGCATCTCTCTGTCTCATGGTGCCTCTCACAGGAACTTTGTAGCGCTCTGGAGCAAGACCATGTGAAGCTACAAATGGCCAAGGAAGCTGTAGAGCAAAGGACACAAGAGTTGAGGAAAGAGAGAGAACTTCTTCATAAAAATCTTGAGCAACAAATGTATTTAAACAGAGATGAAGAGAGATCCTGCCAGGTTGGTGGTCGGAGGACTTGTCTTGGGCTTGGAAGGGTGGCAGTGGGTGGTGGGGCTGCATCACTCAGCTCACTGCTTTGAGATTGCTTTGCTCTGGACCAGGGGCAGTTTCATGGGATGTCACATCAGGCCTGTGTTGATGCTGCGGCGGTGGAGGAAGGGCTGGGGAGCCAGGGCAGGGCTGCAGGCAGTCAAGAGCAGAAAAATGGTGTGGGTGGAGCTGTGTCCAAGAATAGTGCTGTTCTGCAGCCCGTCATGTCCTGGTGGTTCCCCTCTTCCTTTCCTTCCAGGTGGGCATTTTTTCAGCAAAGGAGGAGAAGAACAGACTGGAGCAGGAGAAACAGGTGCTGAAAGAGAAACTGGAACAAGTGAGGAAGAGCATCCCCTGGGAGGATCCACTGATGGTAACAGAGTGTGTGGGGGCACTTAGGTGTGCTGATAAGGAGCACGAGCCTGGCTGAGAGGCTGCAGGTGAACGCAGCTGGGCACTGTGTGATGAC